TAGGTATCACAGCAATAGGAACTGTGAAGGATTTAACTGTAATGACAGGATCCTTGTATGCAAAATGTTTGATGAAGACAGACAAGAATGATATACAACATTACAGATATTTTTGTTTGCTGTTTTGCTAAATTAAAAATCATATGGTGGTACATTCCTATAATCCCATCCACTTGGGAGAATGATGCAAGAGGAGCCAGAGTTTGAGGCCAGCCTGGTAAATTAGTGAGATCCTGCTTTTGAAAAGCTGGGATGTAGCTCAGTGGTGGAGCCCTTCCTAGCATGCCCTTGGCCCTGGGTTCCATTACCAGGATTAGGGTGGGGAAAAGTCACCTGGAAGTTTGAAGAAAAAGGAAAAATTTCACACACAGGTAAACTTGATCCAGCACTTTGAAGGAAAGGTAAGACTTGGGTCAGCAGAGAGAAGCTCTGGAAGGGGGCTTTTTGGCTAAAAATAGTAAGTTCCAAAGGCACAGACTGGATTGAGTATGGTGTTTCACAGACAAACTTCAAAAGAACTGAAAGGGGCCCAAGAGCACAGGAAATGAAACTGGATAAATGGAGGGCAGATTAGAAAGGGTGTTGAAAGTCAGGAAGAAGTAATGTAGTAGAAAACAGAACTACTGATGCTCTCTGCCACAAGGAGTGACATGCTAGAAGGAGCATATATGGCAATCCAGGAAGGAGGCCAGAGGGGCACAGAGAGATGTACAATGTACTCTGGCAGCAATGTTGAGAATGTAAAATTAGGGATTACCAGAAACAAGCAAGAGACATAGACTGGTTTAAGAGTGGCTATGAGGCAAAGGATTTAATACTACAGATCAACACCTAGATATTTTAAATTCTAAAAACATGTTCACAAATGCTAAGTATTTTTCAAACATAGTGTTGAAATTTGTTTTTTCAGTTTACTGCAGGTGCTCCCCAAATTTCACAAGTGCTTTGTGAACATCTCCCCTAAAAACAGCTTATGTAAGAATTAGCTGTAACGTTTTCAGTTCAAGAACAAAATTAACTGATCCAATATAGGAAGGAAATCTCGAGAAGTGGGAGCAGAGAGACATTTTTTTATACTCAAATATACGTTGTCTGTTGGCTGGTTCTACAAAGAAAACAACAAAGCACAACAAACAAACAAAAAACAAAAAAGACAAAAAACCCTTGTGTTTTAGGCAATCTAAAATCTTAAATCACAGTCCTAACTCCTTGCTAGCAGTCCACTCCTGAAAACACGCTCTTATTGAGAAAACAAATTTTAGAAATCAACACTGTGCCATGCTGCTTTCCTGAATTGTTCTGACAAATTGGGAGGAAATTCTCTGAAGTGAAACAAAGAAAAAAATGTTACCAAAGCTAAATTTATCCAACTGTATAATCAATTTGACTAATACTTATTAAATTTAGTCAGCTCCAACACCCTATTTCCTCTGATCCCCTTAGAGTGCTTAGCATATGATATGGTATGAGGAACTTGGGCATGGTAGCCCATGCCTGTAATCCCCAAACTGGAAGGCTGAAACACAAGGTTCACAAGTTCAACCTCAGCCTGGGCACTTTAGAAACTCAGTGAGACCCTGTCTCAAAATAGAAATAAAAAAAAAAAAAGTGTCTGCAGATGTTGTTCAATGTGAAGGCTCAAGGTTTCAATCCCCAGTACCACCAAAAAAACAAAAACAAAACAAAACACAGCATAATAAATAAGGTCAACAGATTTCATTCATGTGCTCATGTTTTTTTAAAAAAAAATTCTGTTATAAAACGGATTCTATTATCTGTACATGGTTTCATGTTTTATTATATCTCTTCCTGTGACCATTTTTTTGACGGCGCTCTTAATGAAAATTAGTCTAGCTCAAAATAGCAAAAATGAGCGTAATTATTAGCCTCCAAGCTCATCTTTTACAATCTGTGGCCAACCTTTTGATTTTCATCCATTATCTCACTTAATCCTCACAACAATAATATAAGGTAAGGATTATAATTAATTCCTATTTCACAGTTGAAGAAACTAGTTTCAGGGAGACTAAAGAGATTTGTGCAAGGCTGTAAAACTAGTACATGGCAGACATGTTCATCTGGCATCCTCGTATAATATCATTAGATTCAACTGCCACCCCCAAATATTTGTGACCAAAACCAAAAGTAAATATAAGGAAGCTGCACATGTCACTCACTGTGCAAGAGAGGAACATCAGTTCTAAGAACTGGTCAGTGCCACAAATGACACATTCCTTGACTCCTTGCACTGAAAACATTGTATTCTGTTCCTAAAGCACAGGAAGACACAGCTATGAATTGGACTTTTATTATCTTTTCTTTCAGGATGACATAACAATACTGTCTGAAGGCAGTGACAGGGTCTCAGCATCTTTATGAATTTGGTCACAGGAAAACAAACAAACAAACAAAACCAAAGTGCTACTATTTAGATGGGCCAGTTTAAGGCTTCACTAGGCTGACTGGTGACAATGAAATGTTTTAAAAAGTATTTTCTTAGACTATTCAGTGACCTGAACAACTTGTGTAATTTCTAGCAGTGAAATTAATCTTTCAATGATACTTCTTAGTACAAAACATATATTCATAAGACACTTCTAAAAATAAACCTCCACTGTAATTCCCTCCTTATGTATCTGGGCACAGATGTCATATTTCTTCCACAAAGGCTTCCTTTTATGTTGCAACAGAATCTCAATTTGTGAGCTGAACCAGAACAATCTATAAGTATACACTTGTTCACAATAGATGATCTTTTAAAATTATTTTAATAGGTTACTACACAGCCTAAATTTGATGGGACAGCATCCATATATCTGCATTCTGTAATACGTTTTAACCTGGAAATACTATGTCATAGGTTTAAATTCTGCCTCCCTTTCCTTCTTTTTTCTTGCTAATGCATGGCTTTCCACAAAAAGGTCAGTGTGATCTTTGCAGACTAGAGATAAGGAATATGATCCCAGAAACCAGAAAATAGAAGGTTTGGCACAAGTCTGGTCATTTGGGAGGGTAAAATTTGTCATCTGTGTATGAAACCAGCTAACTGTTAGAACTGGTTAAAAAACATGCACGAATTAATAGGATGTAGTTATCAACTTCCACTTTTCCCTTTGACTAGGGGTGTTTCGGCAAGCAGCCATATAATCTGCAATAATCTGTCACTGTGAAGCCCCTCCCACTTCCTCTGTCCTACCCCATTCAAACCATGACTGCATACTTGTGGGCAGCCAGTATAACATTCAGAGCATCACAAAAATCCTCTTTATTTACAAAAGTTGAAATTCACACAATTTGTACATTTAAATCTTTAATATTTATGAATCTTAAGGACAAAAGCACAAACTACAAGGCATCACATTTCCAAGATTATTTGAAAGTTTAAATTTCTCTTTCTTATGTAGTGGATACAATCCTCCCCTGCAATAAATAATAGCCACAGAAATGTTTCTTAAATGAAAAATGCATCCTATATGTAAGAACTAATTTGTACAAAAAACATGTTTTGAATATCAGGTTCTATATTAGCCTATATATTTCATTTCAGTCATGTTCTATCAGCCTAAGGAACTTGGTTTAAAAAAAAACTATTAAAGTAGCTTTTCCAATTAATAAAATGTTTTGCACTAGCTATAATGTATAAACTATGGGACATCAAATTTAAAAGTATCTACCTGCCTATTAGCTCAAGTCTCATTTTATGAACTGAGCAGTCTCGTAAGTTATCTTATTTGTCTTATTTTCATAGTTTAATAAGTAACCAATCCCATGTACTCAAAAAAATTACAAAACACAGTAAATGTGACCAGATAGTCTGATCTTTCTGTTTCTAAATTATATTCAAGATATTTTTCTGCTTTCTATCCTGTTTTCTTTCTGTGTGTGGGAAGAAGTGTCATAGTTTTAAAGCACTGCAGGATGAATAGTGTGCCGTTTTGGACAGCTTAACTTTGGGATATTGTTTTATAGTAATAATATCATCCATTACCATAGGCTACAGCATCTAATAAAGATGATCTTTAGTATATTTAAGTTTTATATTGTTGTTAAGAGACTCTACTGCAAAGATTGGATATTTTATTGGCAGTTGAACATTTACTTTACTTATCCAGAATAAAGGAAAATAAACAAGCCTAAGCTTTGAAAAATCAACCCTAATACTTATTTGTAGAATATCAAACTACAAATTAAAATAAATAGAGCATATGAATCCAACAACTTTTGAGGTTGAATACTCTCAGCTAGACTTTGAGCAAAAGCATAAACATTCACACAAAATTCAACAAAGTTTAAATTACTCCCATTCATTAGCAATGTTTAGATATAAACTGTATTTATAATAAAATATGAAGCCATATTTATAATAAAATAAATGCTGAGTAAGCTTACTCGCGGTAGATCACCTCAAACACATGTCCTATATTTCCATTCAAATATGTTAAAGACTTTAAAAATTTTTTATTTAGTGACAGCAATCAATAAATTTGCTCCAGAGATGGCTTTCTTTAAAAAGCTGTCTCTTACTCACAGGAAAGATAAAACTGAACTCAAGTTGTAAGAACACCACCCAGCTTATCAAGTACTTTCATCCCAAGAAAGGAAGTTATTGCAGACACTTAGTTTTATAAGTGAGGCTTGAGCGGAGTACTTCCTGGTCAGACAGTTAACGTCAACAGCATGTTAAACAGCTTTACATTTCGACATTTTGGAAAGGATTTTCTATGAAATTTTCCAAGGTTTCCCTCCAGTCCTTACAAAAGAGGAAAACTTGCTCAAGCTAAACAAATATTACATAAAAATCTATGATCGTCTTTCAGTAATTGCCGTGACGGTAGCCTGTAAATATTAGAACAAAGTATCATTACTAGTAGTGCTATCAGCTTAAGTTTTAATCATTTTACATTTATGCACCCTCTACATTCCTCCCCACATGCTAGAGTAAGTTTCACAAGCACTAGAAGACAAAGCACTAAAAGGAAAATAATTGAAAAACAACTCACCAATTCCTTGACAATGAAGAAAAGGCAAATATCCATTCACATTTTAATTTTCAAATCTAAAGCTTATTTTCTTTTAAGCTTACACTCATATATATATGCATATGCACATAATTTATATTTGTTTTCAGGAACCTTGTATGATCTTAATAAGGAACTGCAGATAAAAAGAGTGATCTGGGTGCCGCACATTACTATCAGTACTGCAGGCTGAAGTATTTCCTGTTACAACTCCCATTGGTTCTCACACGTGCAAGTGCTTCTGGGTGGTGCCAACCTACCATTCTTTTTGTAAGTGATTCACGAGAGGAGGATTAAGCCCGTCACAACCAATGTTAGGAACATTTAGGATAGAACTACTTTGGGCTAATGCTGGGAACCTCCCAAACCAGGGTAATTATGAAGTGATGATTACCTAATTTGAAAGGGCTAGGGAAAATTTATTTCAACAGGCTTTCATGATTTTCCTGAGATGCACTATTATTAAGAATGTGACTTCACTCAACAAATACTTATTAATTGCTTTCTCAATGCAAAGCGCTGTTACAGACACTAGAATGTAATACTGAACAAAACAAAGTCCTGGTGTCATTCATATGCTATCCAGTGGACTTTTGAGGATTTTATATATAATGAGAAAACTCACATAGAGGCAGAGAATAAAAAATTTGCGTGGAAATCTGCAAAGTCAATTGTAATCAGTGCTCACTACTAAAAAGCTCTGTAATTAAGGTCACTAAACCTCAAAGAGCTTTTCCAAAATCTAGTGCACAAAAATAAGGATTTTTATGTTTTTAGTGTTTCAAAAGCACATTTGGAGGCAATGGCATTCACTTCAGCAGTAAAAAGGAAAGCTTCTCACCATGAGTCACCAGTGACTAAGTCCTTTTAATTCAGGCTTAAAACACATTTCAAACCCAATTACTTGTACTTGTTGAAAACTGATAACAACCCCAAATTAACATCAGAAGCTTGATTTGGTCAATTTTCAGGGTCCATATTAGCATTTAAGAAAAACTAAATAATTGTTTTTAAGGGGATAGTTCTATACTGAATTTTACTATGATTTTGGTTTTAGTCTCTAATGTCTAAGGCAATGTTAGCAAGCTTCTGTTAAACTATTACAATGAACAGTCTTCGAACGTTTTAGACTGAGACACAAACATGTTGGATGTATAGTATAGTGGTAGGAAATGGCTTTTATCTGTATTCAACAAAACAAAAATATGGTAAATTTAAGACGGCTCAAACAAAAATTTAAAAACCAAAGTGCAGACTCTACTCTTCTAAGCTAAACTACACTGCCTTAAGTTATACTTCCTTATGTTTAAAATAACAATATCATTTTGGGCACCAAATAAAAGGAATTACTATTTTGTGAGTTGAGGCTATAACAAACAGTGAAACTAAAATCTTCTTGGGGTAATGAGGTAGCTCAGTCCCAGACTGCTTGCCTAGCATGTGAGATCAGAGTCTACATTTATATGGCTGCAAAAACAACAAACCAACCACTTCTGTCTTCATGGACCTTCACTTCTAGTATAGGTATTTAAGACAAATAAAGGACAAAATATTTGGGATGCCAGAAGATGGCATATACTACAGAGAATTAATTCAATATAAAATGTGGAGACAACAAAAAGTTTATTTGTGCACAGTTGTAAATTGCTTCTATCACAAGGTAAGGCATTTTGTTTTCTCAAGACCAAAGTATTAAGCTTTCCCAGACTAATTCAAGTGAACAATCACATTCTGTTGCAAATAACAGAGAATCTTATTTCATTTGTTGCTAATACCTGGAAAAGAGAATACAAAGTTTCAAAGGCCAATCTAATAAAAAAAAAAAAAGCCTAAGAAAATAAAATAACATATCTCAAATATAAAGCATCAAAGTGCACTTTAGGGATGATTATGAATGCTAAAAATGAACATATGAGTTTCCATATAGTTACTACTACTGGCTACAAATTTACTGTACGGGTCAGAAGTGAATTCTTCCCTTAAGAATTAAGCCTGCTATCTTTGCTGACAGCAAAACTTAAATTTTATACAAATATCTTTTGATATTGCCTTGAACCTAAAATAAATATTTAAACTGAATACAATTCAACAATTAAGATATTAGTTACAAGTTACTTAGTTACATGTGTAAGATGTGGTACTTTTAAAATCAAGGACAGGAACTTCAACAACTATTTCTAAGATGACAATATGTAATTAACTAGTGATTTCCTACTGTTTATTTTTTCTGAAATTCTGTATAACTTGTACCCTTTTTCTGTTTTTTTTTCTTTTTTCTCCTTAAATAAAATTTTTTAAAAAATCAAGGACAGGGACATCTAGAAGGATAAGACAAAAACAAATCCTAAAATGTATTATAAGAGATTATACAGTTGGGAAAAGTACAAATCAGAGGGCTACAGGTATAGTTCAGTGGCAGTGTGCTTGCCTACCATGGACAAGGTCCTGGGTTTGATCTCCAGTATTGCAAGAGAAGAAAAAAGAAAACTGCAAATCATGTATTAGGTAAGTCAAAGGAGACAGCCACGAGATGATCAGAGAAAGTCTCATAAAGATAGCATTAGAAGCAATTCTGGAAAATGAGGTAAAGAAGACATCTAGGCAAAAGAAAAAGGCAATAACAGAATCAGAGATGTTTAGGAAGAATAAGAAGGAAGCTAAAGAAGGGGACTGCGAGATGGAGACACAGTCCTTCCTGATCATCTTTATATCCTCCCTGAACAATGAAGGATGGAAAATGTACAGTGCTGAAAAACCAGATCTTGGGCTGGTATGTAGTTAGCGGTAGAGCACTTGCCTAAGATGCACTAGCGCCTGGGTTCCATCACCGGTACCACCAATCTAACACCCAGATCTAGGTCATGGTGGTCAGTTTACCACTGCCATTTCTATGTGACTCTGGAAAGTCTTTTACCCTCTCTGATTCTCAAAAAACCTATGTGTCTAACACTTACATTTTTGAATCATGAGCCATGGGCTTCAGCATATGATTAGATACTGAGAGTAGAGCAAAAACAGCAATAAAAGATTGTTTCCAGTGATTAAAATAAGTAGCTACCATTTATCAAGCAATTACTGTGTGCTTGTCATTGTGCCTGGCATTTAATATAAATCATTTCATGCTTTCCAAGAATCCTAAGAGGTATGTATTCTTATTTTATAGATGACTGAATTGAGAGGTTTAAGCCTTAAGTAACTTACTCAGGGTCAGGCAGCTGACAGAGTAATAAAGACTAAAAAAGGATGCAGAGGTCTTCCTGAGTCTAAGGCTCTTTTTCCTTTCACCAAATCATGCTGTTTTTATTTAGCAGATGAATTAACATTTATTCTGGCATTGCAAAGGAAACTCTTAACATATCTCTGGTTATAATTACATGTCTTCAATAGGGATGAGAAATGTGTACATAGAAATATAGTCTATTAATTGGCTAATCATTAATACATTTACTCATTCAATTCACATTTATGGAGCATCCTTCATACATTGTGCTTGGTATAGTAACTGACACAGGGAATGCAAAGGGTGGTAAGATCCATGTCTGTTAGCATATTCACGTGCCAGTAAATGACAAACATGTATATGTGCTAAGTGAGCACAACTAAATGACACAACTGTGAGCATGCTGGCATTCGATGGACAGTGAAGAGAACTTTGAACAAGCAGCAACGAAGGCATCAAGTTTTGTTAAGCCTGTGATACTGTATATTTATTAAATCATGGTTTAGATCACCTAAAAACCTTATTTATGTGTTTCTAAAAAAATCTGTGTATTTATGTACAAATTCTTCAAAAAAAAAAAAAAAGGGCTAAATTCACAGCAGAATGTAATGGTTGATTGATTCTGTCAACTTGAGAAGTCCTTAACTGAAACAGTTCAGCAATTCCACACCCTAGGGTGTAGAGGACCCACCCTGGGGTAGTTTTTCTACATCCTAGGGTGGCTCATTGGTCTAATGGTATAAAGGAAAAAAAGAGAAAGGACAGACTGGCTTTTGCTCTTTAGAGGGGTTTGTCTTCACCTTCAGTTTGGACATCATCTCTTGGCTTCCAGCACAGACTCTTCTGCTTTGGATTCTTCCAGCATAGACCCATAGGCCCCCTGATAGGGACCTGCATGGACATCCAGTAACTCCAGACCTTGGACTGAAACCTTCGGGCTCCAGTGTGCAGACATCTTCCCCTCGCCTCCTCATCTAGCTCTAGGGCTGACTATTGTAAGCTGATCTTGTAATTTCTTATACATTTGTGTATCTTATATTATATCTGTTTCTCTAGTAAAACACCAACTGACATGCTGGCCATGAACTACCATTCGGTTTAGTAAAGCTTCAGGCAAGACCAATTAGGTTATTAGTTTAAGAAAGCATCCATTTGATTAGTGCTAACTACTGTAATGGGCAAATAAGATGTATTTGAATTGTCCTAATCCTTCACTGGTATGGACATAAGCCAGTGTCAGACAGAAAATAAGAAAATAATATATACACAGGTAGATCAAACTGGGACTACCTGTGTATATATTATTTTCTTATTTTCTGTCCGACACTGGCTTATGTAAGTCTAAAAGGAAATAAAAGGTTCTTGCAATGTCCTTCAAAAAGGGTGTAAGAAAGTATAACTGGGGTTTTCTAAGTTCTTGGATAACTGATCTCAATATTAAAATAAAACCTATAATGGGGGACTGATTTACTACCCTTCATTTCAGAGGCCAGAGGGTATATCAAAGGACCCAAAATGTGTGACTCCAACATGTTAATTCCCATTATGATAAGCTAATGCTACATGGACCACATTTTTTTTCTTAATGGAAGTAGGTTTTGCTATAACATTTATTCCAAAGTCTCTTTTCTTTTTGAATTTTATTGAGACAGGGTCTTGCTATGTAATTCAGGTTGCCCTCAAACTCAGAGATGCTCCTGCCTCAGCCTCAGATGTGCCCTATCACACTTGGCTCTCTCTTTCTCTCTCTCTCTCTCTCTCTCTGTGTCTCTCTTGATGAAATATGTGTTATTTGTGAGACAATGGTTAGGAGACTGATCTGCAGCACTAAAAGAGGAAATTAGCCCCTAAATCATTCTGCTACCAAGAAATTAGCCCTTTAACCTATACAAACTCATCAAGAAAAAAAGCATTTGGGTAATAATGCTTTGTA